GCAGAGAGGTGGGCAGAGAGACAGAGGGGGAAGCGATGTGGGACTCGATCCCAGAATCCTGGGATCATGATCTGAGCCGAAAGCAGAGACTTTAACCCACTGAGCCACCCAGGCACCCCTGAATGCTTATCTTGTGCCAGGTTTTGGGGCTACAGTGATGATAGACATAATCAAAGTTCTTTTTTTTTTTTTAAGATTTTATTTATTTATTTGACAGACAGAGATCACAAGTAGGCAGAGAGGCAGGCAAAGAGAGAGAAAGGAGGAAGCAGGCTCCCTGCTGAGCAGAGAGCCCGATGTGGGGCTCAATCCCAGGACCCTGGGATCATGACCTGAGCCGAAGGCAGAGGCTTTAACCCACTGAGCCACCCAGGTGCCCCCATAATCAAAGTTCTTAAGCTAGTCACATGAAGGATATAGCAAACAAATATGATTTAGTGAGAATGTGCTGCTGTAAGGTGCTATAGATTACCTTGGCAGATTTTAGTGTAGTAGGAATGAAGGGCAATATGGCACTGGTTGGGAAGTGAATAGTAAATGAGGCACGGATGATGGGATGGCTATGAAGGAAGGGATGAAAGTGAATACCTAGAGGTTGAGTGTAGGGTACTGAGGCAGTCATTTGGTTTTTGTTTCCAAAAAAGACCTAAGAATGTTTATATCCTATGGGGAATTAATCCCTGAAGAGACAAGAGGTTGAAAATAAAGGATAAATAGTCTAAACACTTGTTAATATGACTCCAATATGGAATAATCAGATTCCTGGTATAGATTAAGAAATTAGCCTTAGGAAGAAAGGGATCTATTCCACTGAACAGAAGGAAAGACTGTTGCTTCAGACAAATTGGGGATGCTCTTATCTTCATGTAGAGATGAGGTACTTTGCTGAGGATGGACAGAAATAGGGTAGAGAAGACCCATACTGAGAAATGAGAGTGGCATGAGACTAAGGAGCACATAGAAGGATTATTGGATAGCAGGGAAATTCCTGTCAAATCGAAGTTCATGAATTTTGTCGATCAGAAAGATATCTGAGCTTGAAAAGGAGAAGGAAATAAAGGGTTTAGGAGGGGGCTCACTAATGAAAATGAAAGGGACGAGTTGCTTAAGATCTCAGTGTAAGGAGTCAGGGGAAGTTAGGGGTAGTGATTTAGTGTGTGTGTGTATGTGCGTGTGTGCACACATGTGCGTGCTTAGAGATTTATTTGAGAGAGAGAGCAAGAGCTGGGTGGGGGGCAGGGGAAGAGGGAGAGGGAGAGGGAGAGAAGGGATCTCAAGCAGGCTCCACGCTGAGCACAAACCACAGTGTGGGGCTCCCATCTCATGACCCTAAGATCATGACCTGAGGTGCCCCTAGAATTCAAATCTCTGGAACAACTTTCTTTTTTTCTTTTTTTAAGGTTTTATTTATTTACTTGTCAGAGAGAGAGCATGAGCAGGGGGAAGGGCAGAAGGAGAAGCAGGCTCCTTGCTGAGCAAGGAGCTGGATGTGGAACTTGATCCCAAGACCTTGGGATCCTGACCGGAGCCGAAGGCAGACTCTGAACTGGCTGAGCCATCCAGGCATCCCTGGATCTGCTTTCTTAATAAACTAGGTCAGGGGCTTGATGAGAAGGAAATAATCTTTAGGCATAAGTATTGTACTTTTGGTCATTGCCTCTTAGTTTCTTGTGGAACATAATGAAGTATTTAAGTATTTATCTTATATATCTTATCTTTATCTTAAATATCTATCTAATTTATTTATCAGGCATTAAATAATCAAAGTAGATAGTTTTTGTGTTTGAGCTAAGTGAAATATCTCAGGCTATTTAAGTCTCTGTTGTCCCAAGTCCCTGCAGAACTTTGGCTGTAATGCCACCTCCTGAACAAGTTTGGGTAGAGAGGTAAGCTCCTGGCAGAAAATTTTAACCCTCTCTATGAAATTTAATATAGTTAATTAAGTAACACTTTCTACTTAACAAATAGCTCTTTTATAACATTATGTTATAAAACTTTTAACGGTCTTTTGAAAATGAAAGAAATGAAGTTATGGAAACACTGAATGTTTAATTTTTTTTTTTTCTCAGATTGAAAATTGGAACAATATTAGAAAAAAGAGTGCCTTGGATTTCTGGAAAGTAGGAGTCCAAATGAGGCCTCTGTAAATTAATTATACATAAACAATGTAATGGGCTTTAGTTTTATTTTTCAGAGAGAAACACATAATTGAAAATACCGTTGATTCATTCCTTCAGTATTAAATTATGCATTTAATCTTAGAGGATTTTGAGTGATGCCATAAAATATGCTGATGTGACCTGCTTAAGTAAAGTGCATGGGAAAGTAGCCATTTGGAATAGATTTCTTAAGAAGAGTTTGAAATTCCTGGACTTGAACTAATTTGTTTTCCATGGATCCCATGAGGATACTTGCAAAACCAGATGATAGGATACAGTTGGATCCTGTGAATGGCACTAGTTTACAGTTAAGTTTTCTGGATATCTTCCATATGTTGCCTTCTTCTTTCTGTTTTACCATATATGGATACATAGAAATTCATAGACCTGAAAAGACCTTTTATAAACAGACTCTTTGAAGTATTTAAAATACAGATCTTAATTTTTTTTATATCAGTAAACAATTAAGTTAAACTGATTATAAAAACAAGGAAACAAGGATCTTAAAATTTAAGCTGGTATGGTGTGTGATTAGTATACAACCTATTATTGAAGATAGAAATGGGCTTTACTTACTAATAAGAGAACCAGAAATGGTTTGGAGTAAAATTGGGAGATGAGTCATGTAGAACAATTATATTTTGCATCAGTTTCTAATATACAGTGCTTTGTCATTTAAAAGAATTATTAGGAAAGGGATGGTATGATTACTTTGGATATTTCTGCTTCAGTGCCAGTTACCATAAATGAATAAGCTGTTTTTATGGAAGGAGATGGAAGCAAATTCAAGGTATATTGAGATGTTGGAAATTGTCCATTTTTTAAATTGATAGATAATGACAAATAATTCGATTGTCCTTTGACTAGAGGACAACCATATATATAAAATACGAACTTTGTAAATCACGTGGCATAATATCACTTTTTTAAAAAAAGTTTTGAAAATCTAACACTGGTAAGTCTGATTATTTCCTCATTTTACCTTTCTCATGTTGTGAGAGTAAACGGGTATCAGACTAGCTGTATTATCTTAGCTATGTGGTGTGAAACAGTGGTCTTCTAAGTAATACACATCTATTGTTGATACTGAAAATGGCCAGAAAATATTAAGAACCCTATTTATTGATGTTTATTTTTTTAACCTACAGAGAATTAATACTGTGTTAATACTTATTAACAGATTGCCAATTATGTATATTTGGTAGATATAAATAAATATATTTGGAATGTGCAAAATTTCCACTGGTATTTCACACTAGGACTAAAACAGTATAAAGACCACTGGTCTAAAAGATAAGACCTTTGCCTTTTATTTGTCTAAAAGATTAGAAGCCCTTCCATGGGCATACACGTCCAAATCTTAGGCAGTGTTTTCAATTTTAACAAGATTTTTTTTATATTTTTTTTTAACAACTGTTGGCTGACATAGACCTATACTGTCCAATTCAGTGTCACCAGGCCATATGTGTCTATTTAAATTTAAGTTGATTCAAATTAAATAGTTAGTTCAGCTTATTAGTTGCTCTGGTTACATTTCAAGGGCTAAGTAGCCGCATGGCAAGCATCTACTGTATTGGATAGTGCAGATACAAAACATTTGCATCATCTCAGAAACTGTTCAACATTATGTTGGACAGTGTTGCTGCAGACTTTCTTGCTCAGCAGTCTTAATTCCTCAGTCTCTTTATGCATCACCTAGCCTCTGTAAAAAATGCCCAAGGAAAATGGAAATTACATCATATTTGTAATACCAAAATATATTTGTAATACCAAAAGGTACACTCAACCTAGAAATTAGTCACTTTTCCTTTCCAAAACATAAATAGTTGAAGTTGCTTTTCACATGATGATATTTTTCCCTTAAGTCTTATGGTACTTAAGTCATACCATCTTTTGGCAATTAACACTAAACATTTGTGTCTAATTCTTTGCTCTTAAATTAACCGGTCAGTATATGAAGAGCCTCTAGTCTTAGTTAGCCCTTGATATAAATGTACATTGAATGAAAGCTTGTGTTTTTCTGGGGCAATTATTCCCTTTTTCTCTTTGAATCAGTGTTTACTTTAGCAGGAGCATATGCCCAAAATGAATGAGTTGTATGTTCTGACATACATAGCTCAGGGTTACCGAAAATCTTTAGATTGCTCTTGGCATTGTTTAAGTCCAATACCCTTTCTCAAATAGAATATTTTCACAAATTGTAAAGAGAACTAAAGATTTTAGTCAGAGTTAGTAGGATTTTTTTTTTTCAGTGCCTGCACTTTTGCTGATTGCCTCTGTCAAATGTGTAGTATAATATTTGAGAAAAGAATTGGATCTTAACTATATCATAAACACAAGTGTAAATAATTATGGCTATGCTGAAAAAGATTTGGGAATGGTAGTAAGTTAACTTGAGTAATTGATTTGAACCAAACTAGGTGGAGGTAATCCAGGAAAACATTTATTGTAAATGGTACATTAGTTGTACTTGTTTGGTTAATTGCATTTGATTTCTATGAGTTACCAAATCATTCAAGCACATTGTTTATATTATTAGATATGCGTTTATATTATATGAGTATTATATGGCTTTAGTGACTATTACTATTTTCTCAGTTCCTGTTTTTCTTCTTTATGTCAGTTATAAACCATAAACCCGCTGTTTATATATGCCTTTCTTTCAAGTACCCAGGACTTCTAATATCCATAGTAATTGATTCTAAAGAGAATATGGGGGTGGGTTTTTGTTTGTAAAAATTTCCAGTTGGTTTTGATTAATGCTCATCCGCTGCCTCTTACTTTGTAGGAAACCACGGGTGTAATGTGTGGTATTAATACCTGTACCAATGACTCTTACAGGTGGAACAATCCAAAGTTTTAATCAAAGAAGGTGGTGTTCAGTTGCTGCTCACAATAGTTGATACCCCAGGATTTGGAGATGCAGTGGATAATAGTAATTGGTAAGAAGGATTATCATCACTGCTTACACTGCGTTTGGGGTATGGGTGGTTAGAGTTTTTCTGCTTAAGATTTTTAAACTTCTCATTTTAACAAAAGTTATTGAACTTTTAAGGCTATGACTTGAGTTCTTATACTAACTTGGCCACTTACTTGAAAATGTTGCTTATTTTTTCTGAACTGATTTCTATAAAATAGAGATAATATCTATCAAAGAATTATTTTGGAGGCAAAATCCAAAACAACATAGAAACAAGAATTCTCATTATTATAAGGAAGCTAAAACTTTTCATTTTCTACTATAATTTTATCCACTTACTGTATATATTATTTTCTGTCACATCCTAATTTAAACCTGATTTTAAATATTCAGCTTTTCCAAGTCGTAAGTTTAGAAAACATTCATGACATTCTATTTGGAAATAATACCTTAGTATCTTCTAAACAATATTTAAATTTTTCTTTGAGTACCACATTGTTTTTGAAGTAAATTTCTGTGTCAGCTTTTAAAACACCTAAATAATCATGGACTACTACATCAAAAACTAATGATGTTCTGTATGGTGACTAACATAACATAAAAACAACAACAACAACAACACCGAAATAAGTTCATCATGAGGTTTTTGTATTATTTAATCTTTCCATTTGAAATCTGAAACTCTGTACTTACCAATGCAGATAATATAATTTTGTTGAGCTTTGACTCTATATAATTAATTTTCTTTGATTTGGAAAGTTTAGAAATAATGAATCAAGATTTTTTCAATGTGATTAATATTTGTTTCATAATCAGTATATGTAGAATAATTTGAGATATTTTCCAGTGGTTCGATTGGTTTTGCCTATTTAAAAATAATGATTACTCCACTTTAACAGTCATCAATTGTACATTCATATGTAAATTGAAACTTAATTTTTCGATTTGTCTGGTTTCTCTAGCTGGCAGCCTGTTATTGACTACATTGATAGTAAATTTGAGGACTACCTAAATGCAGAATCTCGAGTGAACAGACGTCAGATGCCTGATAACAGGGTGCAGTGTTGTTTATATTTCATTGCTCCTTCAGGACATGGGTCAGTACCTTGATACTTCTGGTAACTTGCTGTTGCTTATTATTATTGAACTTCGGGTACATATTTTAGTAATCTAGATCTCTGTGGAGCACATTTAACTACACGAGTGGTGAAATCCCAAATTCTTTATAAAAATGAAAAAATTATAAAAAACACTTTTTAAGTCCTAGATAAGCTAATAGTAATTTTACTTCTTAGTTTATACATAAGACTTTTTTACCTGCTTCACTATAATATAGAAAGTGTTTCCATCATGGTTTAATGTCTCAGTGTGGCTAGTTTAGCTTCCTTTTGACCTCTTGCCACAAATTGAACTACCAAATAATGAGAAACAGCTATAACAGCTTAGACATATTCTAAGAAACTCCAGAGATGTTTTTACTGTGAGTCTGATAGAGAAGATTACCAGAAAAGTTAAGTACCTGAGTTCTTATGTGCCGTTTATTTCTTCACTAAATTTCTTTGGCTCTGTTTCACCTTAGCTATCACAATCATATTATTTAAGTTTCATATTATCTGTGCTAACCATCTACTTACTAGGAGTTTAAATGTAAGTATCTAGACATTCATATGAACTGATTATTTTTTTTTTGTTAATATGGCCAGTCTCTATTCCTTTTTTTATTGTTTGTATTTCCTCTGTCATTTGAGTAGGTACATGTGTCACTGTCAACTGCAGATGTTTGTATTTACTCTTCTTCAGTCTTTTTCTTTGGGTAGATGACTCCGCATAATTCAGCTACCTGATGAGTAGAGCTGTGATCTCTCCACCAAAAGGAACCAGAATATTATATAACATCAGACTAAATAGCATCACGCCACCTTAGATTACTGTAGTATAAACCAGTTCCTTCCTAACAGTACCTTTCTCTTCTGTTTTCTGCTGCTTTCTCTACCATTCTCCTAGATAAACTAATGCCCATCATCATTATTATGGTTGAGCAAAAAGTCTTAATTATATAGTTTACCATTTTTGCACTGTCAGATTATGGTGGTGCAAATATTTCTTCTTTTATTTCTAATATTCTTCTGTAGTGCTCTAAGAAGTTTACATGTTTAATGTGCAAGATTGACTCATCTACTTAAAAGGCTCAAAAAAACCAACTCAAAAACAAGACACTGTACATAGCCTTTTATGAGTACCTGCTAGCTTCTTCCTGAATTTATATACTTTTTTTTTTTTTTTTTTAATCATTTTAGGTTAACTTGTTAGGGCTTTTCTTGGAAGCCAACGGAATAAAATCTTAACTGCACTTTAGTCAATAGAAATTTGACGGTTTTTATCCAGTTTTATTATTTTAGATCTTTTGGACTCTCTCCAGTATTTAGTAATTCTCATGAAATCACATTCCTTCCATCCCTAGGGGAAAGTATATTTCTTAAAATTGCATGGGAAATAAGATTTAAAAAAAATTTTTTTTTTAATGATTCAAACGGTGTGTGGTAGCTTTGGGCCATTTCTTATTTGTAATGAGAGACAGGGGTTCAAAATTTTTATTTTCTGAAAACATGCTTTTGAATAGTTTCTCATCTTAACTACTTTGAGGCATGGAACAAAGTTTTGCCCGTTGGTATGTGTTACTGTGGATTAAGTGAAAGAATAAAACATTGAATTTATGTAGAGAGTTCCTGATCTCCTGTTCACTATAGACTGAAATTCTAAGCAGTCTAATAATAGTTGAATCAGGGCCTTTCTATCTTATCTGGGTAGTCCCTAGATTCCCTTTTATGAGGGGTCCTGTTGGAGTAATTACAAATTGGTTCAATATTGTATTTTCAGTGTCCCCCACCTCAACCCACCCAGTGTCATCCGTAAACACAGGACTGATTTATGACTTCAGGAATTGTTGCTTCATTTTCTGTTCAGTGCTTGGTAATAGTTATTAAAATTAAAAACTGACTTGGAACTTGAGTTTTAAAATGGTATACTTACCCTTTTGAATATTGATTGCCATTTAAAAAAATCAGTGCCATTCAGTGAGTTTTGTATAGAAGATTTTTTTCCTTAGAAATATGTGTATGTGTATTTATTATAAATATTTGTCATTTGCCCTGTAGTCATTTTATTTTGCTGTAGGCTTTGAGGTTAAATAGTCTTTTCCCTCTAATGTGGGTTTATCTTCTAGAAATTCTATAAAGGACTTTCCATTGTTTAAAACTAAATTTCTTGGAAAAGATGACCTGAAATAAAACTATAAATGGACAGAGGAAAAATTTCAACCAGAATGTAATCTACATGTGAACTAAATGTTTTCTGCTGTTGACATTTTGTAAGCTTCTGAAATTTGTATTCTAATTTAAAAGGGCAGAAGGGTTTTATTGGGGCTTTTATAAAGGTTTTACCCTTTTTTCCCCCTAAAGTTTAATTTTTAAACTGATTTAAATGTTCTTCGGCCTTGTTTCATATTTAAGAAGTTGACTTTACCCATTACTTTGTCATGGTTGTTTTTTAGTGTCTTTCTCTTTCAAAGTTGAGATAACAAATATTCAGCAAGTCCTGTTTTACTTTTAAGTGTAAAACCTTGTTAACTTTGATTTTAATGTTAGTATTTTATATTAAATGATCTTAAGATGTCTAAAAATATTAGACTGAGTTCTTTTCTGTTACTGGTTTAATGAGGTGGTATTGGGGGTAACTTAAATTTATTGTGAGTATAATCTGGAAAGTGAACTATAAAAATTTACAAATCTGAAATTGACCGGGTCATGGCTTTTATATTTAATGTTGTATGTAATGACTGATGAAAAAAAGCAAAACCTAAATTTTTCAAAGTTGGGTAGGTTCTTTCACCTAGCACTTATGAAGTAAGGGTGCTGTTTATAGATAATACAGTGTTATTCCAGTGACAGTCTCTTTTCGTGGTGTTCCTTATTCTCTGAATGCCAATAACACATTTCAAAGGATTCAGGATAAGGAGAATTAGAATAGGAGGTAGGTATCTTCTCCATACCTGCCTTCCTACTCCATATCCCTATCTTTCTGCCAGTCAGCATCACTACCACTAAGAGATATAGTATTATTTATTATTTGTTAGTAAAAAGGAATACCTCTTTAGTCTCTGGGTCCCCGACCTCCCATTTACTTACATATATGTATGTGTGAGTATATACAGATATATCCACATACACAATGTGTTTATTTAACTATAGTACTCTAAAAGAACTCTTTATTTTATATTAGTAAAATTCGTCATGAGAATAGATCTTTATTCCAGTTGTTTTCAAGGTTTGTAAATTAAAGAATACCAGTTTAGAATGGTATTTCTATGCAAAATACTCCCATCATCTTCACTTATTTTTGTGGAATATTAATTTTTAGCCTATACTACATTCTAGATGTGAAGAATTTCTTTGGTTTTCATTTAGAGTTATTCAAGAACATAAGAAAAATCACAGCAGCTTACTTTTTTAGTCAACAAGTATTTGGGAACAAGTATTTGAGGTGTCAACACTATAATAGCTGTTGGAGATATAGATGAATGAGACAAAGACTTTGCTCTTAAGGATCTGCCAGTGAGAAGATAGGGAAAACAAATACACAATATATGGCAAATTAAGTGTTGTGACCTCTTAGAAGATGCCTAGTGTTAGGTTGGGGAAAGATTCCCAGAGGAAATGAGAATTTAAACGAAGTTCTAAAGGACCAATAGGAATTAGGCAAGCCAAGTAGAAGGGGAATGGGAATGGAGCATGTTTTAGGTAGAGGCAGTAGCCCATGACCTGTCAAAGTATGGTGCTTTCAGGGAATCATGAGAGGTAGCAGAAGATGGTAAAGGATGCTAACAGATGAAGACAGCCAGAAAGGCTATGTCTTCACAGGCCTTGTAGGCCACACTAGCCAAGGAATCTGGCCTTTGGTAAGGTTTTCAGTCAGGAAAATGACTCATTCAGATTTGGATTTTAGAAAGACCTTTCTGACTGCAGTGTGTACGGTTTGGAGGGAAACTGGGTGCATTCTAGTAATTGTCCGTATCAAAGGTCTCAGTGGCCTGAACCAAAGTAATACATTTATTTGTTCAGCAGGTTTTGGGAAATCTTTGGGAGTGAGAATCAGTGGAGGAAGGAACCCTGAGTTTCAGCCTTGAGTAATTGGGTGGATTATAGTACCATCCTCAAAAATAGCACAGAAGAGGAAGGAAAATTTGGGGTTCAGATGAGCTTTTGATTTTGAGGAGCTAAAATTGGATGTCCAAGTAATATTTGCACTGGGTAAACATGACTCTCCAACATAAGAATGAGATCTGGGCAGGATGTGAAGGAAGATTTGAGACTCATAGAGGATGATAGAAGTCATTGTGGTCAATGATAAGCATACAAAATTAGAGTAGAGAGAAAAGACGGCCTAGTCTAGAGCACTCTGAGGAAGGTAACTCTTAAGGGACTAACTTACAGAGAAGATCCTTAGACGTACCCTAAGGGAAGAGCAGCTTATGAGAGAGTAATGTCAAATGCTGCATAATGAGTAAATATAAGAAGTAATGGTAAACACCACAATATCTGTGAGTTGTTGATGTTATTATATTAGCAGCATGACATTATTTGGTGACCTTCTTGAAAGTGTAACAATAAAGTGAAGGCAGCAGCCAGATTGTAATGGGTGAAATTGATAGTGAAGAACAGTCTCTTTTGAGCCTTTTATCTGAGACATAAAGTTGGCAGTAAGAACAGAATGTGGGGCTCAAAGAGGACTCTTATTTTTTATTTAAAGACAAAACAGAGATTTCCCAAATTTTGAGTAGTAAGTATAGAGGCTATTCTAGGAAAGCCTGTTAGGAGATTTTCTGGTTTTTCTAATTCCTCTTTAGGGCCCAAACCCTATGATCAGGGTGTTCAGGGGCTGGAGTCAAAGCCTTCTTAAACATTCCAATGCTTGTTGAGGTCCTGTTCTACCTAACTGTTGCTGACCCAGTACATCTTCAGAGAGTGGTTTTGATAATTAAAGTAGTTCCAGTGTGTTTAATTTAGCACTGGGGTTGTGAATGATCTATTCCCCCAAATTAATCAATTGTATTAAATATTGTATATTTCAGACTTAAACCATTGGATATTGAGTTTATGAAGCGTTTGCATGAAAAAGTGAATATCATTCCACTTATTGCCAAAGCAGACACACTTACTCCAGAGGAGTGCCAACAGTTTAAAAAACAGGTGAGAAAAGGAACTTGAATTCTTGGGTTTCTTATACCACTCATGTAATTTGCAGCTTTTGTATTTTCAGTTTAATGTGTTACAATGTATTTCTCTTGCTACTTTACTGTATGGTCATTTGTACTGTATTAAAAATAACTCTTGAAAATAATCTGCCTTAGTTTTCTCCTCAGAGCTCTTATCCGTTACCAATAGTGCCGTTATCCTTTGTCAATTTAAATAAGACTCTTAGATGTTACTGTTACAACCTCCTCCACCAATCCTCTCCACACCCTTTAGAATTATATTTAATTTGAGAGAGAGAGAGAGATGTGTGCTTGTGCATATGTGGGGGTGGGGGAAGGGGCAGAGGGAGGAGCAGAGGGTCAAGCAGACTCCACATTAAGCGGGGAGCACAAGGAGCTTGATCCCAGGGTGCGTATGAAAATTATCTGGAGAAGTTTTTTAGAATGAGTTATTGGGGGCACCTGGGTATCAGCTGGTTGAGTGCCCAACTCTTGATTGTGACCCAGGCCATGATCTCAGGGTCATAAGATGGTGTTCTGGGTCAGGCTCTGCATTGGTCGTGGAACCTGCTTAGGATTCCCCCCCCCCCCCCCCCCCCCCCCCCCCCCGCCACCCAGCTCACTCTCTCTAGAAAAAAAATATATAAAGAGAGAGAAAATCAGTTTGGGACTGTATCCTTACCAATAAGTTTTGTAGATTAAAGTGAGGAATTGGCATTTTTAATATACAGCCTCTGGCTAAGAACCACTGCTCTTAGATCAAGCCACTAGTGTTGCTTTTTTTCCTCCTAGTCATGTATTTGACGCTTCATCATTTATTATGTTTTTCTCTATATAGATACATATCCCAATTGTAAAAGATATGTGGTCCTGTTTTTCTCTGTGGCAGTTTCACCTTTACCTACTTTGTTTAGGGCCCCTTAATGCTGCAGGGACCCCCTGCAGTGATGGTTGTGCTGAAATACCCTTATAGGCAAGGACCTAGTTCTGGGTATATTGGCCGTTGGTTTATTGTGAGTTTGAATAGGGTAGGTAATTGAACATTATTTGGGTGTCTCTGTTCTCTTTAGAATTTGGAGCGATTTGGAATTAGTCTGAAGTAGTTCATTTCTGATGTTACTAATTAGTAGCCTTTTTTCCCCCCCTGCATTTTCCTTATTAGCTCTGGAGCTTCTTAATTTCCAGGACATGTTTTTTCTCTTTGTGTTCTTGCCTGATCTTATATCTGTTACTCCTTGACGTGTATGTGTGTGTGTGTGTGTGTGTGTGTGTGTGTGTGTGTGTGTACACAAATGGACATGCAAGGATATTTTCTGATCAGCATGCCGATTTTTCTTCTGGAGCTGGTGCTGTACTTAGTTTCACTTACATTTGCCAGATTTTACTAAAAATTTAGGTGAGTTGAAGCTATGTTGATTGAGTTGAATAAAACAGTTGGTGAGAGTTCTCTTTAGAGAAAGAAGGTCAATCATTATAAATAATGTAAAACCATTATAGTAGAAATCAACTGGAGAAAGCTGTTTCTGGAATCTTACATCATTTTTAGAACTCTTTTGGTATTATAACCATATAACTTCAATACTTCTGAAATAATCAGATTTTGGAAATAGTATTTATATATCAGCTTCATAGCTAAAAAAAAAGATTAGCATAGTTCTTTGCTTTTAGATTACAGTTTTGCATCACTGAAAAATAGTAAAGGAATTGGAGCTGAGGAATCAGGAATTTAAGGAGAATATAATACAAATAAAGCTAATCTACTAAGTATGTGTGGTGTTCTTTTGCTAATAACTTACTCTTTCATTTTAGATAATGAAAGAAATCCAAGAACATAAAATTAAAATATATGAATTTCCAGAGACAGATGATGAAGAAGAAAATAAGCTTGTTAAAAAGATAAAGGTAGGTTTATTCCCATATATACACTAAAATGTTTTAGGGCCTTAAAACCACTGAAATATCCACAGAAAAGATAAAAAAAAAAATCAGTTGTTTTAAGTAGTTGGCTTACAAAATGAATTAGGGAGATTATTCACTATTGAATTCAACTTTTCAATTAACTTTGTTGATTGGCTGTTATATGTAATAAGAGGTGTAGAATAGAGAGATGAATAGCATAATCTCTGTTTTATAATCTCTGTCTTTGATTTTCAGTTAACTGGTTTTATATTATGTAATTTTCCTCCTTAAAAAAATGGGTAATGAGAAGGGAAAGGATTTGTTCCTAAGTACTACTATGCACAATCTTTAAGAGCCAGACAAAAATGTTTTCTTTTGTCTGTGTATCAAAAAAAGCCAAAACTGGTACCAACATAATTTTCCGTTTTTTAATTTATAGTCATTCCTAAGTACTTTGAACCTAAAAATGATGTGTTCATTAATGGCATTATCTAAGCAAATAATTATCTTGGAATAATGAAATACATATATCTGACCAATGAAGAATTTCTATGGTTTTATAAAATAGTTACATATTTTATATATTCTTAAATATTTCTGGAAGCTACAAGAATTTTGAAAGATCGTACTCTGAGTTAGTCTGGATGTACACAAATCCACTCCGCCAGAGCTAGAGTTCCATAGATAAAGTTGTAGTACATATAATCCCTGCTTCCAGGACTGTTAGGGTTGGTTTGTGATCAGATAGGCAGGCTAGTCACAAGCCTCATGTTTTCCCTCTAACTTGCCAATGTGTTTTTTACCCTTTCTAACTTTTCAATATGGGACAGTTTCTTTTGGAGATGATTTTTTAAATAGCTACTTTGATAAAAGGAGTGAGTGCATATGCCTTAGTCTTCTTAAAATTTCAAAGAAAATACAATTTTATTCATTGTTTACATTGATGAGAATACCATGTGATGACAATTTTAATAATAAATAGTAATTGTGAATGGCCTATAAAAGTAAATACAGAAACTGTCAGGGTAATTTTTTTTTTGGTAATGTGTTGAGTCATGTTAACTTCTTTATTCTTGAATTTGTGAGGACTACAGAGATATATTTGAACTTTGTTTTATAGGACCGTTTACCTCTCGCTGTGGTAGGTAGTAATACTATCATTGAAGTTAATGGCAAAAGGGTCAGAGGAAGGCAGTATCCTTGGGGTGTTGCTGAAGGTAAGGTTTTCTTCAGTGAATGGCTTTCTGTAAGATCTCACAAAAGTGATCAAAAGTTTGTATTTCACATTGATATATTCTGGATTTCCAGATAGTTCTGAATTCCTTTTCATTTAGCCTCATATGCGCATAAGTACATTCCAGTTTCTCACAGTTTGTGTTCTACTAAGTCAGGCAAGTAAGTATGTGTTAAATCCCAATTGTAATACTTTCCAAGTCACTTGTCAGTATGCTCTGTCCCATCATTAAATATACTCGTGTTTTCTTGTTTGAAAACATACTTACAATGCAGAAACTCTTTACCTGGGGCCCAAAGGTTGCTGCCAAGGGATCTAATAAATCTTCTGAAATTGAAAATAATTTTTGGAGAAAAGGACTGTCATTTTTATCTGAGTCTCAGATGGGTCTGGGACCCTAAAGAATGAGAACAACTTTCATTTTAAACCAAATCACAACATTCATGATATCCTTTCTTTGGGATAAAAGTCATCTTTTCTTGGCATCACATCTTTATAGTAAAAAAAAATTCAGTGTTAAGAGATACGCTACTAATTTTTAAGGCGTTTTAAATACCAGTAAAATCTTAGTTCATAGCACCAAACCTTAGAAATCTTCTTGGCAATAGACACTTTTCCCCAAATTTGTGTTTATTGTATTGGTGTGACCTAATATTTAATCTTATGTGTTACAGTAACTTGGAACCAAGATTGAGTCATAATTGTTTTATCTACTTGTTGTTATTAGTTTGAAAAATTCTGTAATTTTTAGCAGATTGTTCCAAGTTATATTCCTTATCAGCAGTTTTCCCTATCAGTGAGTGACTGTACTCATTCCCAGCTCTCTGTCATCCTCTGGTAACCTTCAGTTGCTGAGCTGAGCCTTTAGAACCTTTATATTCCTTGAAAATAGGGGCCGATGGAATTGCTTTGTTTGTTTAGTTTTAGTAGCCCCACCCCACCCCCACCAGAATGTTCATACCAGTGATTCATTTTTTAAAAATAAAGAACCTTAAAGTTCTTGACTCATGGCTTTATTTTGGCCACCTTAAGGAGGCTTTTCTAAAGTGATTCTCCCTCACCATAACACTAAGCTTTAATTAATTAATTGATTAATTTAAGATTTTGTTTGTTTATTTGACAGACAGAGATCACAAGTAGGCAGAGAGGCAGGCAGAGAGAGAGAGAGGAGGAAGCAGGCTCCCCGCTGAGCAGAGAGCCCAATGTGGGGCTCAATCCCAGGACCCTGAGATCATGACCTGAGCTGAAGGCAGAGGCTTTAACCCACTGAGCCACTCAGGCGCCCACTAAGCTTTTAAAATACATTTTTTGGAGCACCTGGGTGGCTCAGTGGTTAAACGTCTGCCTTTGGCACAGGTCATGATCCCAGGTCCTGGGAACGAGCCCCACACTGGGCTACCTGCTTAGTGGAGAGCCGCCTTCTCCCTCTCCCTCTGCTGCTCCCCCTGCTTATGCTCACTCCCTCTCTTGTCGTCTCTGTCAAATAAATAAAAAAATCTTTAAAAAGATATATTTTATTGTGGAATAAATACATTCTCTTACAAGTGAATATACAGTCTCCCCTTTCAGAATTTCAAGATTGTTTCTGATGAGCTCATTTATTAGGTTTGTATATTTTATCATTGAGGATTACACTACAATAAATAATATTATAGTACCCTTGTTTGGCATGCCCTTCAGTTAAGTACTATGTTATAGTGTTTAAACTATAATGAAAAGTTTTGATCTAATGAAAAGTTAATGAAATTTTGCATATTCTCTCATTGTTACTCCTACAATATTCTGAGAAATTTCCTTTGAAAAGACTTGGCTTAGTAGAACTAATGTATGTGTTTTGTTTTTTTATATAGTTGAAAATGGTGAACATTGTGATTTTACAATTCTAAGAAATATGTTGATAAGGTAAGTTTGAGCAATGATGAAAACAAGTGTTTTTCTTTCTGAAAATAAAGTTAGAATTAGATTTACTTTTTGACTTCTATAAATATAGCTACTTGAAATTGATACCTTCATTCTAACACTAAGTAAACATTGCTTGGAGATAACTTGAATTATTTTGCAAAGGTTTTAAAGTTGTCAGCAAAAATACAAAATAAGGTGTGTTATTGCTAGAGATGTATGGGAAAATGGGTCTGTTTATTGTTAATAGTAAAAGATAAGGAAAGGAAGAAGCTTTTGCTCTTTCATGTGAAAAATTTAGGAAAACTGTGGAAGGGAAGGCTAGGTTTTGAGTCAAAAGCTAGACTTTGAATGTTAAAAGGTACACAGCCTTGGAGCTGGCAAGAGGGGCAATTTTGTTTCTGGAACACAGTGACCAAAACTGATCTTTCTCCTAGGTGAAAAAACATTACTCCTAAATTATACCTTGTGCAGCTGATGAAAGAGAAGGAAAGCTTGTGAGATGTGAGACTAGGACATTAAGCTAATCCTGATTAGAGGACTGGGACTTGAATTAAAAAAGAAACAGCAAAGAGGAAACCAGAGACATTAGTGGGCAAGAAACAGAAAGGGCATCAAAATGAACTTTAGTGTTTTCGTGTTGAGATAAATTCCTTCCTCTTGCCACCTCATAGCCCTTCCCCCATTGCCCTCCACCCCCATCTTGCTTGCTTCTCCAGGCCTCCACCACATATTCCCTTCAGCCTCCAGTTTCCCAATACACAGGAGTATCTTTATCTGTGTGGAAGTATTAACATGCCTATTGATGATATTTGGAAGTTATGGAACAGTAAGGTTATTCTTACAAGTGAGGGGGTGAATTTAAGTGAGTCAAACTGCTACCTCAAGAGGTATACTAAATATCAGAGTAAATTGTGAAATCAAAGAGATTGCCCTGTTATTAGTCTTTCTTAAAGAAGCTTATAACCAGGTATTTTTGGTAGGAAGTAGATGATAGGCTTGATTCAGCAATTGGGGTTGCCAGGCCTCACACAGTGAGAGAACGGATGCAGACGAAAGGGACGTCATCTGTCTCAGCTTTGAGAATATAGCATTTCATTTTCTATTATGAACTGTTCCCTTTCTCTTCCATTCTTAAGATGTGACTTCAAAAGAACTCATAATTGCGTACAACAATATATATGTAGGGGATGTTTTATGAATATTACTTGTCAGTGCATTCTCTCTCATACTGTTCTTTTCCTCAATTTTAAATCCCCCATGTAGCTTGCCCAGTCCTTGATACAGTGGTATTCTATAACTTTGTCTTGCGTGTTTTTTAAATATGCTGCAACCAATAATTGCCTGCATAGCTAAAATACTGTAGAAGGGAAGGCTAGTTACTGACCCAGAAGCGAGACTTTGAACATTTGAAGGTGCATAGCCTGGCAGCTTGTGAGTAGGACTCACTAGTATAAACGGAGTACAGAGCAAATGGGCCATGCTTGCGGAAGATTAAGCATAGGAAAGCTGCAAGACAGTTGTGCATGTATGAAAATACAAAAAATTCTGAAGTTACATAATAGAAAACAGATATGTGCTATGAAATGAATACTTAGATGTATTAAAAGAATTCAGAGTAAGTGGTATATTTCATGGATTGAGTCATAAAGGATTCATAGAAAAGATGTCAACATAGATTAGGATAAATACAGTTATTCAGTGATGATTGTGAGATTGGGAGTGATCCTGTTTAATATTTTTATTAATGAGTAGGATGAAGACTTTGCTTTCAACTACTTAAGGTAGATGTTTAGATGATTTTACTTAATAAGAAATTTATTTGTTCAATTTGCTGCAGCACATTTGTTTTTCTTTCCTAAAGCATAAATGTTCACTTACGCTAGGTGGTTTTACTTTGCTTCTTCTCACAAGTTTTCATTTATAGTTCTTACATTTAAGTGTGTAAAACATTCTTGAAGAGTATTATAGTCTGAAAAGGAAAAGCTTGGGGCACCTAGGTGTCTCAGTTGGGCATCTGCCTTTGGCTCAGGTCATGATCCCAGGATCTTGGGAGTTAGCCCCACATTGGGCTCTGTGCTCAGGGGAGGGCTCCCTCTCCCTTTTCCCTGTCTCCCACTTTCTGTCTCTCACTCTCTCACAGATAAATAAATAAAGCCTTAAAAGAAAATGAAAAGGTTAAGAATATTTTATCACTTTTTCTTGTAAGTTTGGAGTCGAGGTAAGAAAGATATATATTTAATGTAGCTCATGTCTTTAAAAGCACCTAGTACATATTTAATAAATCCTGAAAGGAAGGAAATAGCAACACCAGTATTCCAGATGTCTATAAATTCTAAGTAATTGAAATCTTACAGATTACAGTTAGGAATAGTGGTTGCTTCTGTGAAAGACCCAAGTTCAGAGAAGTGTCATTTTGCTCATTAAGAGAACCAGCTGTTGTAGACAAACCAAAGAAGACAATGGAAATGAAGAAAACTTGATACAGATATTTTCAAGGTGTGGTGATGGACAGTGTAGAAATCAAATAGAGAAAGAAAACAAAAGGAGAGAAGAGAGAGGGCTATGATATCAGCAGGGGGACGTGGAAAAGACAAATAAGTTCCTGAAACTGGAGAAAACTATTGGTAATTACTGATTTTAAGAATGGAGGACTGAGGGGTGCCTGGATGGGTCAGTGGGTTAGGCCTCTTCCTTCGGCTCAGGTTATGATCTCAGGGTCCTGGGATTGAGCCCCGCATTGGGCTCTCTGCTCGACAGGGAGCCTGCTTCCCCCTCTCTCTGCCTACTTGTGATCTCTGTCAAATAAATAAATAAAATCTTAAAAAAAGAAAAAAAAAAAGAGTGGAGGACTTAGTCAAATCTTAAAAAAATAAAGTGAAGCATGTTAAATAAGTGGAAATAGAGCAAAATAATTAGAAGTAGGTAATTCTAAAGGGTATTTTAGTGAAAGGAAAAAAATCTTTCATTGTCTGAAATGTTAGATGGCATTAACAAAAGTTGCTTAAACAATGAGTAAGTCCACCTTATTTTTATTTCATGCATCTTATATTTCAGCTATTAAATGCTCCACCTCAGGTCCTTTAGTGATTTTTCAGTGATTCATTGTTGAGGTAATCTATATGTAAAATTACAAAATACTTAATTTATACTTATACAGTTATTGTTTTTATTCTCTACTTAGAGAAGGTGGTAACAGTAATTTATTCCAGAAAATCAAATATTTATCTTACCTCAGCTTTAATACTTCATTACTGGTTAAGGACCCATTTTTTTTTTTTAAGATTTTTTCTTTTTTAAATTTATTTATTTGACAGGGCATAAGTAGGCAGAGCATCAGGCAAAGGGAGAGGGAGAAGCACACTGAGCAGAGAGCCTGATGAGGGGCTCAATCCCAGGATCCTGGGATCATGACTTCAGCTGATAATGGTAGATGCTTAACCAACTGAACCACCCCGGTGCCCCTTAAGGGCCTATTATGTGCTATCTGTATCAAGAATACAAGAAGTGATGGCAAAAATGCTTCTTATAAAAGGGAGCTTACAGTAAAACTTAAGAGGTTTTATGACCCTAACCCAAAAAATGGCTGACAACCAAGGAGAAAATTGTCACGGATTAGAGTGACTTGATTTCAAGGCTGGAAAGAGAGCTTTCAAAGTAATGGCACTCTTAAGTTTGAAGAGTCAGTGACAAATTAGCATGAGCTATTCAGTCTCAGCCAGGTGGATATGCTAGGAATAAGGAGCTGCCTGACTTGACTGAAGTGGAAAGAAATAGTGGCCATGGAGAAGATAAATTCATCAAGGAACAGAGCATAAATGAACATGAGACTTGTTGGAAACCCCGGACTTAAAGTACTCCATCGGATGAGTCAACTATCAGAGAACTGCTTGAAATTGTCTATTAATAGGAGATAAATTAGAGTAATTGAAAATCACATTCTGTTCACAAAGGGAAAGTAATAGTAAATGTTTTCTGGATATCAGAGAGAGTAAAAACACAGCACACTTCAGGGCGCCTGGGTGGCTCAGTCAGGTAAGTGTCCGTCTGACTCCATCTCAGCTCAGGTCTAAATCTCAGGGTCATGAGTTCAAGCCCTGTGCTGGGCTCCACATTGAGTGTGAAGCCTACTTTAAAACAAACAAGCAAACAAAAAGAAACAGTACACTTTTTTGTTTGTTTTCTGTAAGGGAGGTGGAGGATGGTGGAGGCAGGCATGGATGATATGAGAAAAGGGAGAATCAGACAATACAGAGTACTGCCCCTCCAGGTGTGTCCTTTCCCTGATTTGGTAAAGGATATCATAGAGCAGCTCAGAGTGTCTTTAGCTTCTAGAATCTTCAGGGAATGAGGAAATTGTCTCATGTTTTATGTTATTTATTTCATATATGTGTTGATTTTATATGTGATAGAAATACATGAGTAAAATTCATTTCACTGAACAGTTTAAAGAAACAGATTTACTTTAAATTATTTTCCTCAGTTTGAATTCAACTTGTTATGTAATCTAAAGTGTTCCTATGTGTTACCTTAGTTAAAAACTCAACTAATAATAAAGACAACCAGTTTCTTATAGGTTTTAAGAGTTTCGGCAAGAGCTAATCTCCTTTCTCTAGTAAAATAAAATATATACTATATACTATAAATACTTTTCTGAGGAAATGCCATCCTTTAGTAACTGCTTTGAGAAGATTTAGAACTCTTAAAATCTCATTTGGAACCTGACTATCCATTGGTTTCAAGTTTAGCATGTTGTATCTTGCTCTGACTTGAGCGTAAATGAAGACAGGAATTCTCTTCCTTAAGAATAGTCTTTTGCTTGTTTTAAGTCTAGAAGTTTTGTTTTGATAAAGTTTTGAATTAAATCAGAGCTTTTTTCATAGAAGCAAACTGTTCATATGTTATTTATTTATGACAGAACACACATGCAGGACTTGAAAGATGTCACTAATAATGTCCACTATGAGAACTACCGGAGCAGAAAACTGGCAGCTGTGACTTATAATGGAGTTGATAATAACAAGAATAAAGGGCAGCTTACCAAGTAAGTATACATTATGTCCTCCAGAAAAGGTATCATTTATGTAGTAATCATATTGTTTCATCTTCATCAAATTCTTCTTGGCTACTCAATAGGAAATTGGGACAATATTCTTTATGCACAATAGCTGAAATTTATTATTGTTAAGCTTTGTTTTGGCAGTTTTATATTTTACTGTTTGCCACAGGAAGTGTTTTATTACCTTGTTCCTTAGGTGAAAGAGCCATGAATTCTCTTCTGGTCATTTGCCATCATGTTTGTACACCACACATTTAATAGATCCCCAATTAGAAATCAAATGGCTCCTTTTGCAAATACATTTTTAAAGTTTTTATTTTATTTCCAATTAGTTAACATACAGTGTTATATTCATGTCAGATGTCCAATACAGTGATTCAACAATCGCATGCATCACCCGGTGTTATCATGAAAAGTGCACTCCTTAATCCCCATCACCTATTTCACCCAACCCCCCACTCACCTCTCCTCTGGTAAACCATCAGTTTGTTCTCTGTAGTTTAGAGTTTGTTGCTTGGTTTATCTCTCTCAATCTCTCTTTTATTGTCTTTTTCCCTTTGCTCATTTGTTTTGTTTCTTAAGTTCTGCATATGAGTGACATCATGAGGTATTTGTCTTTCTCTGACTGACTGACTTTGCTTAGCATTATATCCTCTAGCTCCATCTCTACTGTTGCAAATGGCAAAATTCCATTCTTTTATGACTGAATAATATACCCCTAAATATATTTTTTATCCATTCATTTGTATGTATTACAATGGACATGGATGTCCATCTATGGATGGACACTTGGGCTGCTTCAATATCTTGGCTGTTGTAGATAATGCTGGTATAAATGTAGGGGTGCAAGTACACTTTTTTTTTTTTTTTTTAAGGGAAGAGAACGGTTACAACCTAGATCTCTTAACCCATTTTACTTTTAAGATGAACATTCTATACACTCTTTAAGGAGACTAAATACAGAGCTTTTACCTTTTATTATGTCTGTTTTGAATAAACCATTTTAGTAGCAGAGTTTTCAGTAACATTGTATAGAAACAAGGGACAGGACCAAACAAAAGCAATATTTAGGTGACTGTAGTCTTGGTTACCTTTTCCATTCCTATTCTGTATTTCTAGGGAGTAAATTAGCTTGAGTTTAGATTTCTTCTCTTGGTTGTTAAGGTAGGGTGAGTGACTGACAAGTGTGTAGCTTTACCCTCCTAAGCTAGTATATATATCAAGCTATGGTGGTTTATGGTGGGGTAGGAAAATGAGATGTGTGAGGAGGGCTGTGAGTAGGCCTGTATAATTCTTGGTAACAGTACCTGTGCTCCATTTTTCCTTTATTAGGGACTGTTAAAGATCATAAGTGTTATGCAGACCATTTTAACAATGTGTGTACGTTTGTAGCCAGATGTTATCTACTATTAGAGGATAATCCTGAAGGATCCTCTGTACAAATAATGAAGAGGGCAAGTTTTGTAAAGTAGCAGTATAGTATCGTGTTTTATAGTGGTCAGCATTCCTTATAATGGAAAAGAAGAGTGTTCCTTTTTTCTTTTTCAGTTATGTCTCCACAATGGCTCAGATTCCAGAAGAAAGCAAACAAAGCATTAAGAGTGACTGGCAGTCACAAACAGTTCTCTTTTAAAACTGATCTTAGATCTAATTCTATGTTTATTTCCTTCTATATTTTTCTAATGATATTGGAGTCATAGACTCTTTGAATTAGATTTCTTCTCATACTGTTACTTAACTTTGAATTTCTCCATATGTTATTAACATGCTTATATTTGAGGAACTTTACTGATCAATTCCTAAGTTTTCTGGTTTCAATGATCTGCAAGAGATTCTGATTTAGTAGATGTGGGATGGACCTGAGAGCTTGCATTTTTAATAAGCACCCTGTAACAGTTTTTGGTTTTGATACAGGTGATTCGTCAGTGTATGCTTTGCAAAATGCTTACTTTTACGAATTTGTTACTGCTGTTTTAAAAACTTATTTGGTTAATATTTCAACAATGTGTTTATATTTAAAATACAAGATTCTATTTGAAGTAAGCTCAGTGCATGAGTAAAGGACTTTTATCTGTTTCTTTTTAGCAAAATTTATATCAGACAACTTTATTTAGCACAAAAACATAAGGATCCATCATAGTAAATATTGTTCATAATTTCCTAATCCATTTTAAATGCATTTCACTAGCTTACAGACTTTTTAACTGTTTAGAAGAAAAACATGAGTGGTTAAAGCCACCAGTAATTTTTATATGTGAAAAGGAAATGTGTACTGTCAGTTCCTATTATTCATTAAATGTGTGCAGTTAATGTTTGATTTTTTTCCTTCTACACATTTTTTCATGTCCTACAAATAATTATTTGTTTCCATATTTCAAATATAAGGCTTTTAAAATAGTGCTATTGCGGTATTTCTGCTATTGGATTCAGAGAAAAATAGTAAACCATACAGTGTTGTTGAAAATTCTTTTGAATAGGGCGCCTGGGTGGCTCAGTGGGTTAATAAGCCTCTGCCTTCTGCTCAGATCATGATCCCAGGGTCCTGGGATCGAGCCCCACGTCAGGCTCTCTGCTCGGTAGGGAGCCTGCTTCCTCCTCTCTCTCTGCCTGCCTCTCTGCCTACTTGTGATCTCTCTCCCTCTGTCAAGTAAATAAATAAAATCTTTAAAAAAAAAATTCTTTTGAATAAATAGAATTCCAGTGTGGTTTACTTGAGTTAAACTATATAACCCAGGTAGAAATGTAAAAAATAGAATACTATTGGAAATGTGTTTCTTAATGAGATGAATCATGTTCAGACTTTGTCTATGAAAATGATGAAAATGTTTATACTGCTAAAAAGCAAATTGCTCTAGGAGTTAGTATATTATTTTGTGTTAATAGTAAGTAGAAAATTATCTTTAAAGATTGAACCAAATGGAGAATGGCATGATTAGAATAGATATTGATATGATTTATTACATTAGCTTTTTACTACTTTATTGAATAACTCGCTGAATCTGGAAGAAGTCACTTGGAAGTTTTATCTGTTGATTGTATCTTATATTATCTTGAAAATGTTAGCAATTTCATAAAGCATTTCAGCTGAATTTTTTGTTGTTTAAATCAGTATCAACAACTTAAGGTGCTTTAGCTGATGTTAAAGTGCTACAAGCTTAGGATTCATCCCTGAGTAACTGAAAAGAATGGCAATTATTTAAATATGTGATAAAAATAAATGTGAGTTTAGGCTTCTTAGTGATATTCTAGTTGTATTGCTCTCAAGGGACTCTTCCCTCCATAGCAATGTGTCCTTTGATAATTTTGACAGGGACAGGTTGAGGTTGTTGGGGGGTTTGGAATGGAAGAGGCAGGGTCATTAAACAAAAATTGCCACTTGTCCAGCCACCTCCCTCTACTATGAATCTGAGCTCAGAACATCCCTGCATGGACCCAAATACTGCATTTCTTATATCACAGGTAGCCCTTAATAGAAGCATGTTTAATATTGGGAGATACAGACACACTGTGGGATTATATTATAGTACTTTGATTAATCACTGAAGCAGATTGCTCTCCTGTCACCTGGAGGTTTTCACACCTTCAGATACACCTGGCACAGTGCATCTCAGATAAGGGCTGGTTAGGAGGGAGTAGGTCTTCCTTCTGTAAAGTGAGAAATGGGCTTTCTGTAACTTGGAAATTTTCAGGCAGATCACTTTAGGCAAGACTTTGTATGGAAGTTGAGGATCTGGAAATTGAGTCTCTTAAAATTGCACAGGCTTAAGTAACTCTTGGAATACTTGGTATAAATAGAGACCTCAGTTTGAAGACCACTGACCTAGACAATCTCTGGTCCTTAAAAAAGAAAGGTGGTCATTTTATCACTTTGTGTGGTCTCTAAATAGCATCTGCAGGCAATTTGAGGAAGAAATAAAATTGATCATAAGGTCATTTATCTACTGATTGCTAGTGGACCTGTTTTTTAAATTGCCCTCATCTAATATTTATACATATACAAATCCTTTAACAATTTAGTTTTATTAATCTTTGTATGGCTGTTTATACTCTACAAAGTGTTAATCACAATTAAGCACTAGGTAGTAAACTAGGTCAATGAATCTTTTTATTTTTTTAAAAGATTTTATTTATTTATTAGAGAGATTGAGAGAACGAATGGCAGGGGAAAAGGGAGAAGCAGACTCCCCACAGAGCAGGGAGCCTGATTGCAGGAGTTGATCCCAGCACTCTGAGATCATGGCCTGAGCTGAAGGCAGACACTTAACCAACTGAGCCACCCAGTCACTCCATTAATGAATCTTAAATTTAATTTTTTGAGGCAGTTTTGGATGGACTGTAGAATAAACTGAATAGTGGGTAAAGATATTTGGTTTGTATATCTGAAAATGTACCTTTCTGTTAGGTTAGTGGTCCTAGAATGATTTTATTGTGGAAGGATGCTAAAATAAGATTTAGACATCACATTGTACATCTTAAATTTATACAGTATTATATATCAGTTATATCTCAGTAAAGCTGGAAAGAAACCAAGGAGCAGATTTGGTAAAAATCTGGAAAGTAGCTGAGTTTATCTCATCAAATACTAATTTGCCTCAAGGCCAAATCTGGAAGATGGCATTTTTCTAGCAGCTATTCAGGTATTGTCTGTATCTGGCAAAGAAAATATCAAGTCACCAATTTAAATACTTGTTAAATCTTCAGGGAGTGTGTATCTTGTATCTTGTGTATCCCTGACTAGAGAGTATGGAGGGTGGTAGGCAATTGGAAGTAAAGAAAGGGAGGTGAAGTTCCAGGTCAAAGAAGATTCAACAAGGGGTTGTAAAGGAAAAGGAAGAAGAATTAGCAATATCCAGATGGTAGATCTCTTAAAGGAAGGTGACCCTCCAATAAGGGGAAGGTTAACTTACTATTATTTATTTATTTATTTAGTATTGGTATTGATAAACCTGCTTCTTCAAGTTCTTCCTTCCGTGGTCTTCTTTTGTATTTTTTACTTAAAATCACATTTGATTGGCGACTCTTTTATGAACTGTTGTCTATCATTGGCACCAGTCATGACAGTTGGTGTCTTGTTCCAAGTTGGGCATACCCTGTTACCTCTTTCCCATATGTTATTTTTCTTTTTTGTATAGTTTTCTCCATTTGTAAGCTTGGGGAAACTTTTGTGGATAACAGATTCCTAGAAATGACTGAAAATACAGGTTTCCAAAAGCTGATTCTCTGCACTCTTTTGGTAAAATACAGTTTTCATTGAAAGAGAAATAAAGACAATTTTCTGAAATTTTCCGAAGTTTTTTCAAAAAATTATATTTATTCAATTGTATCTTTTACTGTTTGTTAAAGTGTCCTTTCATGAAAATATAATGAGTATTGTTTTATGTTTGGCTCTAATGCTTTCACTTGGCAAAATGAAGTGTTGGTATTTTTTCTCAAAATTTCGGAAATTTTTATTGCTCTTTGAAATCTAAGTGAAATTCCTTTGAAAATTTTTGTATGAAAGTTGCTACATGTCTGTGTACATAGTGGCCTTACTAACCATTGGAGAAAAAGTATGTGAATGTGTTTGTTTAATGTGTTCTTCAGGAAAGACCACACATAATCTAAGTGAAATGTGGTTGTCTTCTGTTATACTTAAAATGTGGGTTGTATAATACAACCTCTGTTAGAACCTTACTAGGTCAGCCTTGTGTGGTCCTTATTGTGATTTTGCTATTTGTCACATGAAAGGGTGAGTCATCTGGTGGCTTTCAGGAACTATAACCCTTTAAAGTGATCCCTAGAAGGAGTTATGTTAAATCTTTGTGGATTTAGCGAGATATGCAGGTTATGTTACACCTTTTTGTTTCCTTTTATTCTTTTACCAGGCCTTTTCATTTCTTTGGCAGAGTTGTTTTAAATTTCTCAGAGAAATTTAAGTGTATAAGCTTTAGCCTATCTATGTGTGTAAAGAAGTTTCCATTAAAAAGCAGTTAGGCTATAATATAATTAAATGCTTTTTGCAGCCGTCTAGTAAAAAGTTTTATTTGGAAAAAAATGTTTAATGTGATGAAAAAAATGACCCTTCTTTGTGTTTTCTACATTGTAAGCGTAAATTTGTATTACAGTTTTTTAAATAACACTTTAATAAAGATGACTAGAAGTGAGGGGCTAATTTAAAAATTAAAGGGATTTGAAAGATGTTTACTGGTGAGAGGCTTCAAAAAATCCATTTTAAACATATATATATATATATATATGACTATCTTTTTTAAACACTGGAATATCATTTCATTTGGTCAGGAGTCAAATAGTTTGACAAGGCTGAACAACTTAAAGTATCTCAATATGAAATTCTGCAAAACTTTTTTGAAAGTACACATATTTAAATAGGTCTAGAAATCTGAGCAGGCTGTCAGAAGATAATTGCACAGCATTTTATTTTCATAATGATTTGGTATAGTAATTACTAATAGAATTTTGGGAAAGAAATTAATTAGCTTTAATAAATTTTGCCATACTCAGTGGGTCAAAGCCTCTGCCTTCGGCTTAGGTCATGATCCCAGGGTCCTGGGATCGAGACCCTCATCAGGCTCTCTGCTCAGCAGGGGGCCTGCTTCCTCCTCTCTCTCTGCCTACTTGTGATCTCTGTCTGTCAGATGAATAAATAAAATCTTTAATAAATAAATAAATAAATAAATAAATTTTGCCATAAACAATTTTTTAGGGCACAGACCTTAATTACTCAATTGTAAAATCTCTGAATTTGCTTTTAATTATTGCTTTTAGTGTGGTTTACTGTAAGTGTTCTAAGTCTCTCTTTTTTGTTCTCTTAGATATGATACAGTTGAAGGCATGTAAGTCTTTGTTTCCCAAAGACTTACGCAGGTTTATGATGTAGAGATTTTTAATATTTAAATTTTGAATTTAAAAGCAAATTTCAAAACATAGCCTATTGTCTGGAGTCTTCTATTTTCTTGGAGTTCTTTAAATAAAAATCAAGATGACAGTGTTTACTTTTGGTTAGTTGGTGCCCTTTTCATGTGCAAGTTATATGATAAATTCTTTATATTTAAATGATTGCCTCCTCCTTCCAAGGATAAAATTAAATAAACATTTTATAGAGTATTATAAGTAAGAATATAAAATTTTAAGATCACTCTGAAATTCTCTTTAATATATTTACAGTTTCAAGCTACGTTTTCAAATTGCAACAATATTATTGGATAATCTCTCTTGCTTAAACATACATACTCAACACTGTCAACTGAAAAAATAGTTATTAGATTATTTCTTTTCTAGAGTTTAAAATGTTTTGAGGGGTGGGAGAAGTAAGGTTTATAAAAGACTCTTTCAAAGTCTAACAAAAGCTTTGGACCTTCTCACCAGAAAAATGCTTGCATGGACACACAGATTTGGTATGTCATTTCAGGGGATTCATTCAGAGTTCTGCCAAAGAGATCGGAAGCCCCTATATTAAAAACATCTGCCATAAAGATGAGAACTATGTTATGAGGAAGGCCCCTAACTTTTAATGAAATAATGATGTTTATATTTAAAAGTTTATTTTAGTTGACCTCACTTTTTGAATGCAGATTTTTGTTTTAAGTTAATATTTGGTTTAGTTTCATTTTCAGAACCTCTGATTAATTGCTTAATTGTTAAAATATACTGCAGGTTTGTAAGTTGACTTTTGGTGAAGAAATATCCTTTAGTTAACATTTTATTCAAATTTACACTAATTGCAAATACAGATCTTGATCACAGTAGTACTTAATGTCTTTGTCCTCCCTTTTTGCTAAGAAAAATCAGTAGCCAATGTTCTGTCCTGTTGCTCTTATTTAATATATCCCATCTGGCTCTCTAGTCCTCCTCCTTGATACAGAAGAAGCGTGCTGTAAAAATACTTAGCTACAATAAAGGAAAAAAGAATACTCAGCCTCATTAGGAGAGAAGTCTACCATAATCAAAGTATGTCACCTCAGGATTAAAGTGACTAACCTTAGAAGTTATAGGTGAAATCCAAGGCCTGATTTTGTTTCCGTTTGTAAGCCATGATTTAATTTCTTAAAGTGCTTTACTGAGATAAAATTCACCAATTTAAAATGTGCAATTCAGTGGTCCCATCAGTGGTCAAAGCCTGTTGATGTGAAGGCAAAATGAATATGTTTATCAACAAAGTCAGAAGAGGGCATGTCTCTTTTAAGTTGTCTTAGGTGTTGAATAGTTTTCAAAGATCCTTAGGGAGCACAGGTTTCTTTCCTCCGTGGGACTATAGTGAATTACTGATACTTTGGCATTCACTTTTGTTTCTTTAAGTATACTAGCCTTAAAATAAAACTAGTTTGGAATATTTTTCAACATGAAAATTTTGATCGAAATTGTACAGAGATTTCAGGGCACCTGGTTGGCTCTGTTGTTAAGTGTCTGCCTTCAGCTGAGGTCATGATCCCCGGGTCCTGGGATAGAGCCCCACATTGGGCTCCCTACTAAGTGGGAAGCCTGCTTCTCCCTCTCCCACTCCCCCTGCTTTTGTTCCCTCTCTTGCTGTGTCTCTCTCTATCAAATAAATAAATAAAATAAAATAAAATAAAAAAACAGAAACAAAATTTTGCAGAGATTTGAGCCTGTGAAATTTAATGTCAGTAGAGTGAAATACTTCATTTAACTATGTTTATGTCTGTTTTCTGGCATTTCAGAAATAATTATCAGCATATTTATTTGCTTCTGATTCTCTCTCTTATATATCATCTGTGTATGTGTTTTATCACCAAATATCTTTTTAAAATAAAACAAAAAGGACAATGAAATATTTGAGTTAGGTGGAATGAATTTCATGAGCAGTGAAATTACCGTAAATGGCCTGGAAATTCTGCATACCTAAATGAAAAACTTTCTAGGGATTGATTGGTAGGTAGTATTTCCAACATGGTAATTCAGTTACTAAAATAAGTTTGATAATGAATCTTGGAACACTGAAAAAATAAAATAAATAAAAATAAGTTTGAATTAGTGTTAATTAACTTATAATTGTGATGTCAGTAGTTGTTACAAAAGAGATTATAACACTTAGAAATTTATAGAGCTAAAAATAGTCTACATGTATTAACTTCATTAGCTTGGTTCCTTTTTTCATATTAAGATTTTCATATTAAAATTTTGTTTAAAGTGCAAAATTAAATGATTTTCTTCTCATTTTCCATTTTGTGAGTTTAATTTGGAAATGGTTCCTTTCCATTTTCCTTCTAAAGTTTATTTTATGTCATCTCTAGATTTGATATGCACTAGGTTAGGAGAAACATTCTGCTAATAGTTTTTTTTTTTTTTTTTTTTTTTTTGAAGATTTTATTTATTTATTTGACAGAGATCACAGGTAGGCAGAGAAGCAGGCAGAGAGAGAGGAAGTGAAGCAGGCTTCCTGCTGAGCAGAGAGCCTGATGCGGGGCTAGATCCCAGGACCCTGGGATCACGACCTGAGCCGAAAGCAGAGGCTTTAACCCACTGAGCCACCCAGGCATCCCAACAGTTTGTTTTTTATATCTATTTTCATAGTAATTATTTGTTAGAGATCCAGGTTTAAATATAAAACTTTATGGAAGGAAATTCTAGATTATAAGTATTTGTAAATTGTAAAGCTTCTAAAGAATTTTTAATGCATTTATATATAAAACTTCAAATCTGTGTTCTGTGTCATTTAAGATGGTGTTAGAATAATTGAAAAGTTATTTTAAAACTTACTTTCAAAAATCAGAATTTAGTAGTGGAATTCAGCATATTATTTGTTTTCATCACTGTTTCAGAGTTTTGTATTGAATTAGTATTTTGACTTCTGATGTTTATCCTTAATGTTCACAACAGGAGCCCTCTTGCACAAATGGAAGAAGAAAGAAGGGAGCATGTAGCTAAGATGAAAAAGATGGAGATGGAGATGGAGCAGGTGTTTGAGATGAAGGTCAAAGAAAAAGTTCAAAAACTGAAGGATTCAGAAGCTGAGGTAATTAGGCTAACATTTTCATCTTGTAGACACATTATTTCTTTTTAAAATAATAATATCTTTATTAGTATAGATAATAAAACCTTTCTACACATATTTTCCCAAATTTAATATAATGACCTAACGTAATAAGATGGAGAAATAAAAGGAAGTGCTTTGTTTATAATAACATATATTTCAATATGTAAGTGTTTGGCCATAAATATTGTTAGGAAGATAGAATACTTACAATGAATTATCAGTTTTAATGAGCAAATTATGAGAAATGAAATTATAAACTATTTCCTGTATTCAAGGTAAAAAGAGTAAAGATCAAGGGTTTTGGGTGGTTGTAAGAATAAAAGCTTGTATGAGAATTATAATAATAAATCAGTTATTTGCATATGAATGAGAAAATGAAAGAAAGAACTTTAACTGAACTAAGCGCTTGCCAGGATAAATTATAGACCACCAAAGGGGAGAAAATAGAAGGAAGGTGATATTGTTGTAAATGAGTTGGGCATATTTGTAATATAGTGTCAGAGTAATTGCCATTGTTAGCACATTGGTAGAGTAGTGACAAAGCATCCCAGCAAGCTTATCTACTACCTTGGATGTTGAGTCATACATTTAGTTTCTATAAATCAGAAAGACCTGGAAGACATTTCCTCACGCTTCCTTCAAGAAGTGAAAGATGGGGGAAAAAAACAGTAACATGAGAATCGAGTAATAGTTGGTTTGATAGATATTAATATGAAATATTTTTAAAATGACCTTTAATGTTAAAATTCAGTGAGATCCTTGTGTTCATATGTGGCTCCATTAATATTATTTGTATCTAAGTATATTAAAAGGGGATTTAGATCTGTTTTGTTTATGTTCTTATGGTTGATCTCATTGCTTTTGTAATTATTGCAAAAATACTGAAACCCTCTTTGACTAAATAACCAGAAGTATTTTAATCCACTAAATAAAATGCATGGAGTGAGTAAATATTGAGTAATTTGGAGGAAATGTTTATATTCCACATTAGATTACTCTCAAATTACTAGGCTTTACCTGTGATCTCTTACTTTGAAAAAAAAAATAGCCACTTTGACTGTTGTTAAATTTGTCATAAACTTAATGCAGCAAAGATATGGAATACTTCCTTCTGGTTTGAGACTGCAAAGCATTGCAGGAATAGGATCCCTAGCATCTGTTATTAATAAGATGACATTTTAGGGATTAAGTTTAGTCTTTTTACTTATCAGCCTTTTATTGATTCTGTCCGTTTGAGTTTTTGCCCTTTTACTAACTAGTGAATAATCTGGAAAATCTATAACAGAGGGGAATAAAAACAGGAATAATCGAGAGTCTGTATTACCTCTACACTTAGATTTCGTTGAAAATCTAAAAGTAGTTGAATTTACATTTGCTATAGACATATTTTAGAAACTGCTCCCAAGAGTAAATGTTATAAACAAATAATTATGAAACTAACTGAAAAACCCTTCAAGAATTTTATGATTTTTGTGAGTGGTGATAACAGTTTTGAGAAACTTTACTCTTTGAAGGCTGAAATCTTTCTTAGCATTCGAAGAACCTGTAAAGAGATCTGCCAAGTTTCCCCTAATACTGTTAGCCATATAAGTATATAAATATATAGGTGAAGAGACCTATTTAACCTTGTGTAATACAGTTTTTTCTCAAGTTCATTAGTGTTAGAAATGTTTCTTTAGGGCACAGCTGTTAATATCCAGTAGCACAGTGCATCAGGCACAGTAGTAAGCATTCTTAATGTATTGTGTCATTAGATCCACACCATAACCCTATGAGGTAGATACTATTGTCCATCTCCCTTTTTATACATAAGAGGAAGGATAAAATAACTATGTCAGTGGCGCATATTGTTGTAAGTTGAACCCATTAATTCTTTAAGTTTGCTCTTAATCACTAGATAAGTCCACAATCATGTATCCACAGTTTCAAATCCTAAATCTTAATAAGCTCTGAAAACTGTAAAACGAGACATAGAACTAATTGTTTTATTCCACTTGATGTAAATATTATAAAATTTACTGCAAAAAATAATAATGTGTTTGATGCTAAGATAAGTGCTATCCTAGATAGCCCAGGAGGTGTTTTATAAATGTAGTTTATATACTTTTCTAAGTAATAATGCCTTTCTAAAATCTGAAAAAATCAGAATTTTGTTAAGACTTCTAATCCGTGATAGTCCTTTGAGAGGACTTGTAACCTATACTTTTTACCTACATGCAGTTAACACAAAAGATACTTATATGTAACAGAAATACACAGGTAAGGAATGATGAATACCTGTGAACTTGACTACCCAGCTTAAAAAATAAGACCTCGTTAGTTCATTTTAACATTCTAACCTTTGTAACTCTCCCCTATAGTAGTTCTCTCCCTCCTTCTCTGAAGTAACTGTTGTGAATCATGTGTTTATGTTTCCCTTGCATTTTTTTTTTTTTTGATAACTAGAGGCATTTTCCTGTGTTCCTATTTTTTATATTTTCTTAGTAACTTGTTTGCTATAATCAGGAAGATAGTATCTCAAATTTGACTCATGTTTGTTTGCATTTATCTTAGATGGTTTTGTAGGAATTGCATGAAATTTTTGCAGTAAGAATAATTATGAAGTTTACAAAATTTGTAGTTTACAAAATAATTGAGAAATATTTGAGAAATAATTGAGAAAACAAATTATATATGCAGAATTTTACTATCATCCAAATTTAGGATGTTAACTCACTGATGTAATATGATCATTAATAGAATATGATTCCTGGACATCTGAAGGTTGAATAGTTTTCAGGTATTAAGTGTATTTAGATACAATCTGATTTTTTTTTTTTTTATTGGTGTAACTATTTTCTTCAGAAACAGGTTGACTAGTGCCTAAATGAAATTATTTAAGGAACCATTAGATAAGCTCTTTCTTTCTGTGGTTACTTTGCATGAGTGTTTCTACTTCTAAGCCGGCATTCTTTACAGCATTAATTCTCAATGTAGGAAAAATACCTGCACTGGAACCACTGGGGTGTGTTGAAAATGCAGATTTCTAGTCTTAACACTCAAAGATTCTAATTCAGTATGTCTGGGTGAGGTCCAGTATTCTGTATTTTGAGCAAGCACTTTTGGTGATTTGTATGAAAACTAACATTTGAGAAACCACTGCTTTATAGGAATTGGGGAGGCTTACTGTGATCTTGAAGCCCTTTAAGTCCTTATCTACCTGCTTTCTTTCCACTTGTCTCAGCTTTCTGAACTTGGAATGAGGAGACCGGTTCAATCCTGGTTCTTTCAATATTCTGGCTAATGATCTTGGGCAAGTGACTTAACATTCTTCGACTCTTTGTTCATCTGTACAGTGAGGACAGTGATGTTTTCCTTGCCTTGTTTCTTCATGCTTATGGGTGGTGAAAGATGAGATGATAAATAAGATAGAATATGTCCATTGTAAAGCTCAACACAGCTATAAACTTGTAGCACTTTTTTTTCCCCATTTCCCATAATTATTCTCTTGGGTCACTGGCCTTTAGGGTGGCAAGTCCTACAGAAGGAGAAATCCTAGACAACACTTTCCAGGTGGTATTCTGAATTCATAGCATAAGAACTCAGTGCTTATTAACATTAGAAGGCCTGGGTGAAACATACTTCTGCTCCTGATATCTTAAACAGCTTCATTTTACATATTGTGCTATGATTTAGCTCCAAAGGCGCCATGAGCAAATGAAAAAGAATTTGGAAGCACAGCACAAAGAATTAGAGGAAAAACGTCGTCAGTTTGAAGACGAGAAAGCAAACTGGGAAGCCCAACAACGTATTTTAGAACAACAAAACTCTTCCAGGTAATTAATTTCAGATTCCTAAGAAATATGTATATTAATGTTTTAAGGAATTATTGTCTTGTTTATTTATTAGAGAGATCACAAGTAGGCAGAGAGGCAGGCAGAGAAAGGGGAGAAGCAGGCTTCCTGCTGAGCAGAGAGCCCGATGCGGGGCTCGATCCCAGGACCCTGAGATCATGATCTGAGCCAAAGGCAGAGGCTTAACCCACTGAGCCATCCAGGCGCCCTATCTTGTTTATTTTAAAAGACCTTACTCAGGGTCCCTGGGGGGCTCAGTCAGTTAAATGCCTGCCTTCTGCTCAGGTCATGATCCTGGATGGAGTCCCACTTTAGACTCCCTTGGCTCCTGAGCTCTCTCAAATAAATAAATACTAAATAAATAAATAAAGACCTCACCCATCACCCAAGCACAGTTAATTTCATGGATGAATATTTTTAATAGATGGATACAATCTGTCTACTCTTAACAGTATTTCTTTTCATTACAAATATTTTCCATGACATAACAGGCTTCATAATTATGATTTCATAGCTTCATAGCATTCTCCCTAAGTTGACTTACCATAATCAATTTCTTATCTCCTCCCTTCAAGTATTGGACAAAATAGTTGTGTTCAATCATTGGCAAGCATAGAAAACACTGCTACAAAGATCTTTTATACATTTAGGGGTATGTTTTACCCCTAGTTGTACTGAATTATTTCTTTAGGATAAAAGTTACTCCTTAAGATAAAATTTTGGATATCTAATTCCAAATACAGCTAATCAGTTACTTGTTCTTAGTTTACACAAAACTCAGTAATATTTGTACCTTGACTTGTTCTTTTTCTTGTTAGTCCCATTAAAAACTGAAAAGTTGTATCCCTATAAGAATTCTACAGTTTACCCTCACTGTTAAATATTTTCAGGGTTAGATACTTGTTCTGTAACATTGTCCTTCTATTGGTAAAAGCAAACATAATGCAAAATTCAAATGGCAGTAAAAGAAAAGGATACTGTATTTGATGTTAGTTGATATTTTTCAATTTGCACTATTTCATTTGGAAAGAATTGTTCTCATGCATTAAAAATGGGTTTTTGTCCTGTTTTTACTGTTTATCCTGAAATTTGGTCAAATATCCGATTGTCTGTTACAGATTTGCATTGTCCTCATTATTCACTTCTAAACCTTATATTTTTTAAATTTTTTTAAGTTTTATTTCTTTATTTACTTTTGAGAAAGAGAGCAGGGGGAGGGGAGGGCAGAGGGAGAGAGAGAATCTTAAGCAGGCTCCACAGCCAGTGCAGAGCCTGACATGGAGCTCAGTCTCACAACCCTGAGATCATGACCTGAGCCGAAATCAAGAATCCAATGACGCTTAACTGACTGAGCCACCCAGCCACCCCTTTTAATTTTTTAAATAAAAAAGTAGTGTTAAAAAAAAAAAAAAAAAAAAAGTAGTGTTGCGGGGCACCTGGGTGTGGCTCAGTGGGTTAAAGCCTCTGCCTTTGGCTCAGGTCATGATCTCAGGATTCTGGGATCCAGCCCCGAATAGGGCTCCCTGCTCAGCAGGGAACCTGCTTCCCTCCTCTGTCTCTGCCTACTTGTGATCTCTGTCTGTCAAATAAATAAATAAAATCTTAAAAAAAAAAAAAAAAAAGTAGTGTTGGAAAAATCTAACACAATTGTAGCTGGATTAGCCATTGATACTATCATGTATTGTCTATAATGTTTATAACATGGCTACTCATTTTGATTATTTTCCTTTAATCATTTAGAACCTTGGAAAAGAACAAGAAGAAAGGGAAGATCTTTTAAACCCTCTATTGACCACCAGTTACGTATTAGTTGCCAATATGCCAGCTTGGACATCAGTGTTTGTTGGATCCGTTTGACCAATTTGCACCAGTTTTATCCTTAATGATGGATTTAACAGCATGACAAAAATTATTATTTTTTTGTTCTTGATGGAGATTAAGATGCCTTGAATTGTCTAGGGTGTTGTGTACTTAGAAACTAACAGCTCTAAGTACCTTTCCTACATTTTCTTTTTGTTTTTTGTTTTTTGTTTTGTTTTGGTTTTTGGTTTTTTGTTTTTTTATTAAACAGATGTCTTCAACTTAATGCAAGAAAACATTTTACTGTTGTACAATCATGTTCTGGTGGTTTGATTGTTTACAGGATATTCCAAAATAAAAGGACTCTGGAAGGTATTCATTGAGGATAAATTGCCATAATATGATGCAAACTATGCTTCTCTATGATAATTATAATACAAAGGTTCCATTCAGTACAGCATATACAATAATGTAATTTAGTCTAACACAGTTGACCCTATTTTTTGACACTTCCATTGTTTAAAAATACACATGGAAAAAAAAATCCTATATGCTTACAATGCACCTAGAGCTTTTTTATAACAACCTTTTTTTGTTTATTTGTTTGTTTTGGATTCTTTAAATATATGTTATTCTCATTTAGTGCCCTCTTTAGCCAGAATCTCATTACTGCTTCATTTTTTAATAACATTTTATTTAGGTATTTTCCATATATTGGCCCTGCTAAAAATAGAATATAGCATCTTTCATATGGTAGAAACCAACAAGGAAACTTTCCTTTAATTCCCTTTTTACACTTTATGGTAAGTAGCAGGGGGAAAAATGCATTTATAGATCATTTCTAGGCAAAATTGTGAAGCTAACGACCAACCTATTTCTACCTATGTGCCGTCTCTTTATTTTACTAGAAATGAGAATCATGGCCTCTTGAAAAGAAAAAAAGTCACCATTCTGCATTTAGCTGTATTCATATATTGCATTTCTGTATTTTTTTTGTTTGTATTGTAAAAAATTCACATAATAAACAATGTTGTGATGTAATAGAGTGTGGGCTCTTAAATATTTTACAGCTGATACGCAAAACTAGAATATATTTGGGTAGAAACTTTTCAACTTGAATTTGCCTCCTCCACAATTGTAATTCATCTTTTCTCTTGCATGTTTATTTCATTTGGAATGATTATGTATTGGTTTTCTAATTTATGAGATATATAGTATCTCTACTCATTACTATCTCATTAATATGTTATTCCTCTGAGAAAAACCCCAATTCATTCACCTTAGGTAAACTCTCATGTCCCTGGAAACTGAAACTTTTAACTGGAAAGAAAGTGGTATAATTTCACTAGGTCATATGATACAGATTTTAACATAATGCTTTATGGCATTTTAAGTACAATTAATAGAACCAAGTTCATTACCATAAAAAGTTTCACTATGTTTGTTACATTTTAAAATTAATGATGTAAGCAGAAGGAAGTGCTAATTCTTATTTTTGTTGGCTTCATACGCTGAAGGATTTAAGCAAGTCAGTATGCTTGAAAGATCCTTAATGCTTTTCAAAGATACATAGATCCAAAATGTAAAATATAGATTATTCATATTACATAATCTTGACTTTATGTATAAGTTCACCCCAGGGTTGCTATATTTAAAGTAGATCTCATGAGGCATTAAAAGCACAATTTAGGAATACCACAGTAAACATTTATTCTTATTTGATGGCTATCACTAGTTAAAAATTGTCTTGGAAAAGTTTTGTTAATCCTAAAATGCCTTCTGCTATTGGAGAACGTTAACATGGTATTTTAAAAAATAAATTGCTGGTTCATCCAAGACAGGTGTTCCAGAATAACTATAGGTAAAATATGTAGGGTTCCCCCCACCCCATTTGTTTTTGTTCCTGTGTTAAGAAAGATTGGGTTAACACCTGTAACCAGAAGGATTTGGTTTTAGGGAGTTGACAACCTATTGAATTTGGAGAATGCAAAATGAAAAACTTTGTATAGACCACCTGCCTAACTAGTGAAGTATTACTCCTAGAAACAGGTCCTCATAGTTACCATTTAAAAATTCTGTATATTGTGATAAGTTTGTAAGTCATTTTTATTCTACTATGCTAGTAAAAAATTGCACAAATCCTTATCTGTGTCATACCTAAGGTTTTACCTGAATTTGATATGGGTCTTCTGATTGTTGACTCCAGGCTTCTCAAGCATATTGAGGGCTGTTTCTGCTGTATGGCTTATGAATTTCTGAGAACTGCTTTATGATTACTCATAATACATATAACATTCAGGAAGGCATAAGGAAAGGCCAGCTTGTAAACAGAAAAGCAATGCCTACTCTCCATTATCTAGAGGCATTACGTGACTGAAGCAGTTTGGTAACCACTGTCTTTATTAAGTATGCAGGATTGACCAAGTCAGTCCACTGACTGGTTTGGGCACCACAATGATAGAGCTTTACTGCCACCTAGTGGGTTGAGATCTACTTGTCTTGTTCTCAAGTTCACAAGTAACCAGGGAAGTTGATAAAATGAATTGATTGGATGTACGGCTTATTTCTATGTAGCTTAGGTCATATTCTTAAGAGCTGAAGAGATACATATAGGCTCCTGCCTCTTAGACTCATTAATTTGGTGTCACTCTACCACCTGCATATTCTGAGAACCTCCCCTCCTCCCCGCCCCACCTTTTGTGCCTTTTATCCTCTTGGAGAAACTGACCTAGTAATGTGGAGGTAGGTATATAGTAGGTGAGGGAAAAGCAAGAGGAAAGTGTATAAGATGGCCTGATAATGCAGCAAGAGCAGAATGTTGACATAGCAAGTCAATCTAGATCACTATTTCCAAACTTTATCCTGTTTCCTTATTAAATATTTTTCAGCATGTATCCATAATTGCAATTGTATAATAAATTGTATGCATGTACTACTATGTTACTGTGAACATTATGAAACAGACTTTTAAAGTGGGGGGGGGGAGTTTAGCACTCTTAAGCCCCAGTGAATTATCTAGCTCATTCCACTTTGGAAGCCATTGATTTAGGTAGTGTGTAGATCATTAATAATTTTGTTGACTCCCCAAGGATGTCCTAATGAAGACTGCTGTGGTATCCTATTTGATGTGAAAGGAAAAATTGTCTGCCACTCCAGTAAATTAAAGTCTTTTCTAATAAAAACCTTGCAAATGTAAACAAAAGTCCCTGTGTTTCATTCAGGATATTTTCCCTGCCCTTTGTAATAGTAACAATTATTCATGTATTGAACACTTACTATGTTCCAGATGGTGAGTTAACTAGTTTTTGTGCGTTATCTTCATTTAACCCTTAATAGATACCAGTATTATCCTTTTACAGACTGGAAACAGGCTTGGAGATATTTAGTGACTTACCTAGGAGAAAAGTGGTAACTGGCAGAGCTGGGTTTGAACCAGTCATGGTGATGACATCAGGGCCTATGTGCTTCAGTCTTGTGCCATACAACCACCTGGAGTGTGCGAGAAAACCCTGAACACACTAATCTGTTCAAATCCAATCTCTGTGAACTGGGCATATTACCTTCCCTTCTGAACAGTTGTTTCTTCAGGTATAAATTAGGGCCCATATCTCCCTTGCTGGTTCATAGTGAAGACTGGTCATGTGAAGGTATCTGGACCTTGAGAGATTATCCTTGGATGTTGATAGAAGCAGTGATGTTGGGCCCATGACAAAGAGTATTGTTTCTCCCCAAGTTTAAATGATGGTGCATTTTTAGTAAGTTTGCATGGTGCTTTGATAAGTCTCTAGACCTGCTTCTTTGTAGACACAGAAAGCCTTTTGGAGTTACTAAGTGAAGTATGTTTTGACAATAGAGTACACTGTGAACTAAGGCAGTTTTGGTAAAAAGTGGGTTTTCTACAGTGCCAGTAATGGGAGTTATAAAATATGTCATTCTTTGCAAGTAATGCTGAGATGGTTTATCAGAGTATCTCATCTCTGACATGGCTGAAAAAAATTGGTTCTTTTCAAGCAAACTGGGTCCCATGATTTGGGATTAATCCATAGAATGTTCAAAGTTTAGTGTCAGCCATTTTCAATAGAAAATAAGGGTTGACAATTTCCTGTGTTCTTTAGAAGTCTTTCAAAGCTTCACAGGAAGAATGAAGACTATTCTTGGCTTGAACATTTGCCCCATGGAGTGCTGGGCCCAGCCAAACAGCCTTGTATTAGCAAAGGAGGGTCAAGTAAAAGGGGAGTTTGTTCTGTGCCAGGCTCTCAAAGGGTAAGCTGAAACACCCTTGGCCACACAGAACCACTGTTTAAGGTGCGGTATTTGGACCTGCTGAAATCTAAAGCCATTCAGGCTTTCTGAAATCCCAAAGGATTTGGGATGGCAGTAGTTGACACTTAAGAATAGGTGGGAGTTAATGTGGGGATAGTTAGACACTGCCAACAAATGTCTGTTCTCGCTCTCTTAAAAGTGGGCCTGCTTAGCTTCCTAGCTTTCAGATGTGTTGCGAGGCACAATATTTCACACTGGATATTAACAAGGAAATGGACTCCAGAGTCCCCCTGGGATGGGGGTAGGGGTGAGGGGCTGGTACTCACCAAAGTGTGGAGTACTGAACTGACTTGGTCTAGCAAGGGCTTACAACTTTTCTTTTCCTCATTTAATTACAGTGTCTTTGAATTTCACTGGTCTCTTTCATATTTAAATACATGCTCTGCTAGACTTGCAGGCACAGAGAAGTTCCCTGTATTTTGGATAAGCCAGTGATTTAAGCAGCTTGGCAACTGGTGGGTGAAATGATGAGTGCCCTGGCACACAGTCCTTGGTGTTAATGTGAACTTTTCCCCCCTGCTCATAAGTCAAGGAATCTGTATTTTGTCCAGTAGTAGTGGAGAGAACTCTCAATTTTGTCTCTCATGTGATTATATAAATCTATGGCTTAGCATGGTTACTTAAAAAAAAAAAAAAAAAAAGGGTCTTTCACCTAGACACCAAAATAAGATCTCCCTGAGACCTTAGTGTTGTTGGGTAGAGGTGCCAGGAACTCAGGTTGGCATTTTCTTTCCCTAAGTTCCACTTCATTAGTGCCTAATTAGACCCCATCACTCAGAGTTAGGTGCTTGGAATAGAAGATGGAGTAGAGGTTACTGAGGCAAGCTCTCCTCCTGTGATCTCTGCACTGAGATGGGGTTGACCCCTTTATCTATCTATATATATATATATATATATATATATATATATATATGTATATGTATATATTTACCTAATGCCTTGAAGAGGAGATGGGCTTTTTCTCCAACCTGTACTGTGAGAACAGATGGACTCATCGTACCAAATGAGAATATTGTGATAATATTCAAACTAGGAAGAATACCTGTTTATCAAATGGGAAATTCAGCTGAGAATCTGAGGGAAGGAAAGGAAACCAGAGAAGATTGCGGCGACAAGCCTATTGAGTGCCTTCTATGTGCCAGACACATAAAGTTCACACAGATTCTCACTTAAAGCTCGGTAGAAGTCTATGATTTGCCTATTTAAACCCTTTTAAAAAACAAGCAGACTAGGGGTGCCTGGCTGGATTAGTCGGTAGAGCATGTAACTCTGGATCTCAGTGTTGTGAGTTTGAGCTCCATGTTGGGTGTAGAGATTACTTAGAAAAAAATGTTTAAAAAAATATGGGGCTCCTGAGTGGCACAGTTGGTTGAGCGATTCTTGGTTTCGGCTCAGGTCATGATCTCAGGGTAGTGGCATCAAGCTCTGCACTCAGCAGGGAGTCTGCTTGAGATTCTCTCCCTCTGCCCTTCCCTGCCCCGCCTGCTCTCAGTCTCTCGAATATTTAATAAATAAAAAATTTTAAAAAGCAGATTAAAATTTCACTATATGGTTATGTAACATTTGTATTAGGTATTGCTACATGCGAAGCAACAAATGCCTTAGTAACAACTATTGTTAAACTGTAATAACATTTGTTGGGACGCCTGGGTGGCTCAGTTGGTTGGACGACTGCTTTTGGCTCAGGTCATGATCCCAGAGTCCCGGGATCGAGTCCC